CGCTGGGGTTGGGTGGATGCGGGCTGAGGGTTTCGAGTTGATGAGGCTGCGTAACGTACGATTGTGGGCCATTCAGAAGATCGCCATCTGACACATGTTTACACATGCCCAGCTTTCAGTCGCATTCGAGATCAGGAGCAAGAAGCGAAGGCCCTCTCCATTTAGCATCGAACGACCACTACTACTACTACTACTACTACTACCACTACTACTACTACTACTACTACTACTACTACTACTACTGCTACTACTACTACTACTACTACTACTACTACTGCTGCTACTACTACTACTACCCCACGCAAAATGTGGAAGCAGAAGCTCAACCCTGCACCTCCACACCCTCTGAGCCAGCAGCAAAAGCAAGGACCCACAATCCTACACAATGAAAGCTCAGAACCACCAACCGCGGTGGAGAGTATGGTTGCGGGGTCAAGGCTTTCAGATGTTGGACGTTCACAAAATCACAGGGGAACTCAAACCAGGCCCAAACTAGGTTCGTAACGAAGGCAAAGTTGCTGCATGTATATTGTACAAGGCACATTACTTGCTTCTCGCCAGGGTTTTTGTGAGAAACGGCCATTGCTACGACTTCCTTATCTTTCGCGCGTGTGCAAGAAAGAGAGAGAGAGAGAGAGAGAGAGAGAGAGAGAGAGAGAGAGAGAGAGAGAGAGAGTGGCCTTGAAGAAGCGAGGGGATAAAGAGGGCGAGAGGGACTAGAGTAACAGAGCACGAGAACAGGAGCCAGATTCGAGGGAAGTGTGGGCACGAGGCTGCTGCGCGTTGGAACGCTGAAGATCTGAGTGCAGGACGTGAAAGAAGATTCCAGAAGCATGAAGTAGGCGAGGAGCTTTAAGACAATACAGAGCAACATGTCAGATAAGAGAATATAAACTCGGGGGTTTCCATCGACCCGTTCTGGCACAGGTGGAGTGGAGGTGAAGCAGGTGTGATTGGGCACACCAGTCTACCTCAGCGACGCCTGCGAAATGAGACGCAGGCCTGAAGCAGATCTCGACTCTGGTCCTACACTGTGAATCCTTAGGCTCCACAGTAGTTCCTTTTGGGGATTACCTGATAGGATTCTAAATATGAACCCCCAAAACGAACCACTATGGAGCCTCTACGTAGAGCCATACAAGCCCGAATCACCAGCCCTTAGAAATATCAACCCCGCAAGATATCGTCGGCTTGTTTGTGGGCTTCTGGGTGAGGTGGAGTAATTACAGGGTTATGAACCTTTGGGTTTATACGGTTTGGAGGTTTAAGCCTGTTTATGTAGCCGACGTTCCTCACAAACTCCGAAAGCTATCAGAGGCCTGCTCGCTGTGTTTAACCCCCTTAAACCCTGCACCCTGAATCCGACTTGGAACCAGGAACCTCACCTCGCGAGTCCAAGTTGAAATGGCAGTTTCCGAAACTTAGGGGTATCTTGTTCTTGGGGTCCTTATGATAAGGATCCTATACTACTAAGGGTGCTATATTAGGGTCCCCCTTTCTTCGGAGACTAAGAAGTTCCAGTCGAAAATAGGAAGCACACAAGCAGGCAGATACGTGGTTGAGTCAGTGTGGAGGGTTTAGGGGTTTAGGGTTTAGGTGTTTAGGTTTCTTCAGCAATGACACTTCTTTTGGTACCCGCAGGTTTCCATAGGACCGCCATGACCTGGCAAGTGTCTTCTTTCATTCAGAGGGTAGAAGGAGGGACCCCTAATAAGGACCCCTGGGTATATACCCATAATATAGCCATTATATACCCATTATCTAGCCCATTATAGGGTAGGGGTGCCCAATAAGGGTCCCTCCTTTTCCCCTTTGATTCATGCGTTTTGTCTGCCCTGCAAATGCCACAGACAGAAGTCCATAAGGCTTACCCAGAGAGCCGAATATAGCTCAACTCATACTATGAAGCGCTATATACTTTAAACCATATTCCTTAGTTAAAGGGTATTGGGCTCTCTAGGTTAGGGTTTATTAGGGAGGCTACTAATCGTTGCTTTAGCTGCGGTTCATGTCTCGCAGGCCACATTCCTGGAAATGACTCGATTGAAAGCCGTGAGGCACCGGCCGTTCCAGTTAGGCAGAGTTGTATCGGACCCGTGTGATTGAAAACTTTGGGTTCATAGCAGCTCTGCAAATTCAATGCAGCGCTCTTCCGCAGAATGCGCAGACGGTGGCGCGATTGAAATCGTGCAAGGATGAGTCAAGGCCCAGCTGTCGGACATTATAGATTCACCTTGACAATACTGTCGTTGTACAGCTTCTCATAGTGGGCACTTATGGGGGCAGCCCTCTTACTGCAGATCCTTACACCCAAAACTTAAAGGGACCACCCTGCCCTGGTTGTCTGGATTGTCCACAATTTCGGAGTCGGAAGCCCACCCGTAATCAATGAGGGCCAGATCCTTTGATAGAATCTTCCATGCTAAGACACCGTAAGCCTTAAACCGTTAAACCCTGAACCCCAATGTCTGGGCTTTGGAATACCTCACTTTAATACTTTTTTTCTTAGTGGGACCATTATGAAATAACAGTTTATACTTTTTTCTCCCTGGTTACTTAAGGCCCAGATGTAGACATCCTTGTGAAGCTTTCAGGCTTCGAGTTTGAAGTTTAGACTACAGGATCTAGCGGACAAGTCTGCTGCACGACCCTACTTGGAGGATCATGGGACTTAGTAACTTAGTAAGTAGGGTTATAAGTACCTTAATTAAGGTTATAAGTAGATATAACTATAGTTACCTTACTTATAACCCTACTTACTAAGTCCCCTAAACCCTAAACTAAACCCTGAGCATGCCAGCCGCCTGGGATCCAACCCACATCCATCTGCTCCGAAACTGTAAGCTTCTAAAACCCAAACACCACCCAAACCCTGCAACATAGTAGTGACCCCGTTATTCTCGGCTATAAACCCTCCAATCACGGAGTCCTACCCAAAAGCAAGGCTTTAGGATAAAACTCTAAACAGCTAAGCAGCAAAGCAGGGACTGAAACGAGGACGCACATCACGATTTGAAGCCCTGATGCCTGGATGTCAAGAAGATCACAACTCAGCAGAGTAGGTAACCTTTCACCTTTTCTGGTACAAGGGTACTATGCAGGACAAGTAATGAAGGCTAAGGTATGTGCTTCCTTAGGCCTGAAGTCGAAACACCTGACTCGGATAAGCAAGCGAGTTCAGGCGAATCCCTGACACTCACGAGCATACTCACATCTCCCGAGGTACACAGATTGCTCCGGTGCCTGAGATTTATGGCCTAAACCTTCGGAACTCTTGGAACCCTTCTCAATTTGTTTATGCCCCTTATACCAGAGCGTTTAGTTCTGTTGGGCCGTCCCGGCTCGATGTGCCCACCGCGCAGAAGTCGGAGAACACCTTCCGGGTTCCCAGTGGCGGTCGTATTTCGTCCTTGCTGGTGTTTAGTTTTGGGTTTAGGCCTCAGCAAGGATGTAGGTTCGTTAGTTTAGGTTTTAGGGGTTAATTATGTAGGAACCTGATTAAGAAACCCTGGGCCTATATCCCCGAAAATAGTAGCATTCATATAAGGAGCCGCAATAAAGGCCCAAGGTTTCTTAATCAGAGTCCTGCCCAGGGAGACTGTATGCCTCCGTTTATAGGGTCCTTAAAGGGAGGGTGGTTCAAGGGGAACCTTAAGGGAACCTTAGCGAGCACTAGGGAGAACTAGGGAGTAGTAGGTGATCTACACTGCTTGGAGCCCTCCCCCCGCATAAGGATACTGTGATCCTTGGTCTTGGGTTTGGACACGCTGGATAGGAGGGGCGCAGCTCGCAGCTTCAGTGTCGGAAGATACGGAGCCCCCACACAGAGCCCTTCACAGTGCGAGCCCTTCATAGAAGGATCCCTAAGAGACCTTCATAATGGAATGCCAAGATGTGGTATCTAATAAAGATCTAGGTCAGTGTCGGAACTCGCTTGTCATGCTTCCCTCTGAGTCCCAGACATGTGCCCTGCGCGTTTCGGGCTTCGTGTTCTGATGTAGCTCGGATCTTCGGCTCTGGCAGCATAGTGGCAGCTCCGGGTTGGAACTTCAAGTTTATCAAGTTTAAAGAACCCTAAACCCTATGAAAGCCTTAGAGTACCCTGCAATGCGGGCTTCGTCCTTGCCAAGTAGGAGGGAAAAATGAAAGCCCTGGAGCCTACTGCCCTGATGCCCGAAATCCTAGGACCCTACAGAACCCAATCTTCCGACTTTGAGCGTGAGAGCGCACGACAGTAGAAATGAACATGCAACGGAGAACCCCGCCGATAATATGGGAATCGAAAGTCTGAGTAACTAAGCATGCATTCTATACAGAGTTTGAGACTTCAGTGACTTCGGGGTGTTTTAGTGATGGTTCAGGATCTTCGGATTTAGCTGCTGGGAGCGCTTATCTTAGATTGCTGCTTCGACCTTCTCTCGAAGCAGAGCTCTTCAACGCCACAGAGCAGCGCAGGAAACCGCGATCGAAAAGAGGCATGGGATGTTCGGGCTTATGGATTCCGGGGCTTACAGGTTCATTTCAGTTCAAGGAGTTTACCCATAGGCTCCATGGCAGTTCGTTTTCGGGATTACCTTATACGACCCTAAACATAAGCCCCTAAGCTTCTGTCCTTTGTCCTGTCCGTCATCCTTCTCCACACCCCACCGTAACCCCAAAGAGCAATCTGTATGTAGGCGCTGTCACCTCCTCCTCCCCCTTCTGTTACTACTGCTACTCTTTCTGCTGCTACTACTACTTCTACTTCTACTGCTGCTACTACTCAGACGACTACTACTACTGCTACTACTACTGCTGCAAGTGGTAGTCCGGTCGATACTTATAGAAAGTGTTGGCAGCAACTTGCATGATCATCCAAGGGTAAATAAATGGAGCGACCCCTAATAAGAACCCCTAGGTATATACCCATAATATAGCTATTATACCCATTATATAGCCCATTGGAGGGTAGGGGTTCCCATTAAGGGTCCTTCCTTTTCCCCTTTGAATGATCATCCAAGGCTGATTGCCATTCACGACGAGGACGCTGCTCCTTCCCTGCGGGGCTTTGCCCATCATCCCGAAACTGCACTAGCCTCTTATAAATTGTAGCCTCCTTCTGGTAGCCCCAGCGACAGAAGTACAACATGTAGGGGGGCCTCATAACGGCACTTTTGGTATTTTCAGAGCCATGTGATGAGTTCGGGTTGAATCTGTTAGGACTGGGAAGTCGGAATTGTTTTCTTGGCACTTCTGGGGCCCTAAACCCTAAACCCTAAACCGATTTACTAGGCTTAGGAGATTTAGGAGTATATGTTGTTTTAAGTAGCTTGAAGATGCGGAGAAGCCCGTCCACCCCAAATGTTAGCAAGCCAACACGTTTAGATACAAGGCAGTCTACTTGGAGGATCAGGGGACTTAGTAAGTAGGGTTACAAGTAGGGTAACTATAGTTATATCTACTTATAACCTTAATTAAGGTACTTATAACCCTAGTTAGTAGCTAAGTCCCATAATCCACTGAGCAGTCTACAGCCCGACTTCCGAAGGCGGCATGTTATAGCTTTGCGGTTTAGGGTCTATGATGATTACAGATTCAACGTTTTGGGTAGTTCTCCAATAACTGGTCTGAGTAGGCTTATCCACCGGCTAGCCTTGTTTCCCTTTGGAAATAAGGATGGGGAGCAGGGCATAATTTCGGCATCTAGCCTACCTGAACGTGGTGCAGCCTCTCGAACTTGGTGGATCCTGAAATTTCGCCGGCTCCAGGCGGCTAAGGTGCGACAAGTCCATGGGGATAGCATAATTAACTGGATAACTCGCATGTTTTGGGGCGTATCTATAGGGTTTAAGGTTCTGGGGCTTTGGGTTTTGCAGGTGTTGGTGTTGAGGGTTCAGGTTTGGGCTTGGTTGAAGCAGTCCGGCTTTCGTCGCGCCGGAAATCAGGGTTCTCATCCTTATTGCACCTGCAACTCATGCTTACGTAGCACCCAGATCATGATCCTTGATACTCAGCTCTTCTCATCAGAAACTGCTCTGTTTCTTAAGTTTGCATGACAGCATAAACTCCACGGGCTTTAAACGATGTGGTATGTACGGTGGGCTCAAGGAGCTAAAGCCTAAACCCTAGAGTCGAAGTCCTACTTCCCGGAAGTCAACTAGGAAGCAGGCCTTCCCGTGCACCGCTGAAACTCCAGTCGTAGGGTCTTGGGTCCCAAACTCGGGTATAGGGTTCAAAGGTTGAGTATAGGGTTTAAGCTTTGGCTTTGGTGTGGCCCCTGGAAGCGTTTTTCAGTTGTTTCGGTTTGGTGTTTAGATGCAGGGAATCGGATCTTTCGCGGGTGATGGTATTACCGCACTTTCCAAAGCCCAGCATGTCACGTGCTCGCCGCAGTTTTTGCTGTCCGGGTTGGTGTCGATATCTCATGCAAGTATCATAACACACCTCACCCAATGATGAGGCACAATTCCAGTCATCCGGGTGCAACTGCCATAGGACAGACGAAGCTTTGCACATTCCACAGGTTGTGACGTAATTAGCCAGCTTGCTTGCAGGAGACGTGTCCTGACAGACGCATGTAGAGAGAGTTGAGGGGAGTCAGGCTTGCATTTAGTGCCTAAGGCTTGGGGTGCCTTTGGACTACATCTGTTCATGCCGAGGGAGTCAAGTTTGTCGACTTAAGTTGTGTCGTCCAGGTTTCCAGTTGGACGAGGCGCAGCGGACAACTGCCGACACTCCAGAACAGACCATGGGTATGCATGCAGTCGATAGGCACAATAATATTGCAATATCGGGCTACGAGTAGAAACACATTTGTCGCCTGGCCTGGCAGCGCTGCAAGATTGAAGTGTTGTGCTGGCTTTCGGGAGTGGGTGTTTAGTTTAGGTTAAGACAAAACCCCAAACCCCATGGTCTCAGAGGCATAGACCCCAATGGCTATAGGTTTGACTTGGGAAGCTGTTGATTTAGTTGTAAGTGATAAGACATCGGTGTTCTTGCTTGTTTTGAGCGTGAGATCTCCCTGGTTCTCATTAAGAAAAAGTTCTGAAGAGAAGTTAGGGCATTGTTTAGTGCTTCTTACACATCGTGTGAACCAGGCAGATTTGCACGCGAGAGTTTAGTTGCAGGCAGCTGTTCCTCCTGGGGTGCCTGGGGCTGGACCGACGTAAATTAAAGACAACTGTGAAGAACGACAAAGTTCGGGGATCCAGATTAGGGGTTGGTCCGGCCCTTGGAGCATTGCCTCACTGATCTCGACCTTGGGCCCCGCACGGTGAGTGGTGCGGCCGAAAGTATGTATCCTTTCGCAAAAGCTGGCGGTTGCATGGCGGCGCCGCACGCCATGATGACCATTCCACCAAGAGCTCCGGCGGGATGCGGCTGCAGCTTCGGCGCTATTGCTTTCGGAGTCCCGAAGCCTCAAGCTTATATCCTGAGCCATCGAAAGCTGGGCTTTGCGGGGTTCCATGTTTCTTCAACAGCGGGCTGCTGACTATGAGGGCTTTGCAAGAATCTTCCCGGGTCTAAGAGCCGTAAGGCCCCAAAACATGGTTTTTTTTGGGCGGAAAATTTCGGAAATCAGTCCCTATCAAAGACTTTGAGTCGTAAACTGTAGGCCGTCTATGTAAATGTCAACCGTCATTGCGACGAAGATGTCTGACTACAGCATTCTGACCGATCCTGAGTGTACAGACTTAGCGCCACGGATCGATTTATTAGCAGAAAGTGCTTGATCAAAAGGAGGATGCCTCCTAGTAGAATGCACAGAGGTTGATTCAGGACAGCCAAGGGTTAACTCAAATTCGCAAATCTAGGCAACGGCTTCTCAGCGGCGCCAGCTGTTCCCGGGATGCCACCTGCGGCCTTTTCCGGCCTTGGCGAAGGTACTCGTGGCTATTGCGGTCAACTTGTCGATTTCAGGTTGTGTCAGGCTGTGGCTGTTGACATCGCCAGACCAGTAACGGATTTCTAAAATGCTTTGTTGCACGTGGTGCCCGAAACACACGAAAAGGCCCACATGCCTTTTCTGTTTGGCATTCAAGTGTCTCTGCTCCAAGCACCCTAAACCCCTAACCCTAAACCCCTAAACCCCTAAACCCTAAACCCCTAAACCCCATGTCTCCGCCCCCTTTGTCTCTCAAGCGGATGTGGAGCCCGAAGCTCGACAGATCTTCGTAACCCTAAACTACCTAAGCCATAAAAATGCAAGGCCTTTGAACCCTTAGACCCTAACCCCCTAAGCCCTTAACCCCCATAGAAGGGTTGTAAGCACCTTAGCTAGGGTTATAAGTAGATATAACTCTAGTTACCTGACGTATAACCCTACCTACTAAGTCCCCTGGTCCTCCGAGTGAACCTTTACATGCAAGTGTTCCCAGAGCCTCCAAAACCCCTTAATTAAGGAATATACCTTAAATCATATAAGGGATCCAATTATAATTTAAGGTATATTCCTTAATTAAGGGATATTGGAGTCTCCTAAACCATAAACCCTATAGATCCCTTAAAGGAACCCCTAGGTATTCCTTAATTAAGGGGTTTTGGAGGCTCTGTGTTCCCCACAAGCAGCCAACACCGCGCCTTGAACGCTCGAAGTACCACAGGAGCTCCCACACTGATGCAGGGAGCCTTTTTGCTCTTCAACTAGCTAGGATCTCCAGTAGTACCCTTATTCCCTTTTTGTAGTCCTAGGTTCCTTATAAAGTTACCCAATACCAAAAAGAGAGGCCTTATTATTCTTAGGTTACTGGGTATCCTAGTTACTCTTCAAAGTATAGGGCTTAAGAGTCTAAGAAAGGGTCTAAGGGTTTTTTGGACGAAGGCTTGTAGTCTTCATTGTAGTTTCTTGTTTCGGCTACTCTTTGGGGTCCTAAACATAAGTTTGGTTAAACAAAACAAGTGAGACTGTGGCTACGCCTCTCAAAGTTGAGGGTGCAAGGGTTTAGGGCAGGTGGTTCCGTCATATCTTTTAAGGCATATTTCATTGCTTACTGAGTTTTGCAGTCTTTGGGCAATTTTTCGAAAAGAGGTATTTCCATTCTATACAAGACATTGGTAGTTCTCTGATGTGTATAGGGTCCGTCTTGACATCCCGAAAATAGTACGGCACTCTTATATACATGGAGCGTGCAAGGGAACCTAATTTAGAGAACTGCCCACGTCCAAGATCCGTGGTGGATTGCTTCTCTCAACTGTGGCCTCTCTTTCGATGTTGAAGCTTCGAATCCAGAGATTGCAAAGGCACTTAGTCAACGAACATTCCTTAGGCCAGAGTTTAGCGAGTATCTTGAAAAGAGGACCCGCAAGTATGTACGGATGTTTGAGGCGACAGCTGGAATCTGATAATCCAGGACATTTTGTTTAATTATATGCATCAGCCTACCTTTTCGGGGAAATGCGAGGTTCGCACTTGTGGCCTATATCTCCTGCACCCTCAAACTTTCGAACCCTCAAACCGCTACTACCCCAATCCTTCGTGGCGGCTCAGGCAGCGGATGCGGTACCTACGGTGTCGTAGTTCCACCACCAGGTGCGGTGCGCATGCCAAGCAGTAGCTGTCACAGGGTTGAGGCTAGGGGGGTTAGGGTTCATTGAGGGGTATGTTGTGGCCTTTGCTTCAGCATCTGACTACTCTGCGTGTGTGTGTGTGCATATGCATATATATATATATATATACATATCATAGACAGACTTATGTGCATACATATGAGTACATGAGTGTGTTTGTGTACATATAAATGCTTATATACCTGTATGTGCGTGCGTGCGTGCGCGCGTGCGTGCGTGCGTGCGTGCGTGCGTGCGTGCGCGCGTGGGTGGGTGGGTGGGTGGGTGGGTTGGTGGGTGTGGGTGGGTGGGTGGGGGTGGGTGGGGTGGGTGGGGTGGGTGGGTGGGTGGGGGTGGGTGGGGGTGGGTCAAGGTGGGTGGGGGTGGGTGGGGGTGGGTGGGTGGGTGGGTGGGGGTGGGGGTGGGGGTGGGTGGGTGGGTGGGTGGGTGGGTGGGTGGCTGGGTGTGTGTTTCTGTGTGTGTGTGTGTGAGTGTTG